AAGTCTTTTCATTGCTATACATGAAGCCAGGGACTCACTCACATAGACTAAGCAAGTTTTCTACCACTGAATTACAGCCCAACTCCCAAACAGACTAATTTGACAGACTAAATAATACAGAAACAGATACCTATACAATTTATTCATGAAAAAATTACACTGAAATATTGAATTTTCATTATATATTCAATACATTTTGCTGAGACAAAAACTGTATATGCATATGAAAATAAGTTCATTTTAACCCCTAACATGTGCAACACAGATAAATACAATGTCAAATTGTTCACAGATCCAAGAAGTGAAAGGTTAAACAAGAAAACCAATTACTTAATAACCTTCTAGGACATAATATAGTAAATATGACTACATTTGTTACATTGAGCATAAAATGGAAAATCCTTATATGTAAGATTAATAATTTGGTCTATATTTATTTATTTTTATTATTTTATTTTATTTTATTTTAAAGAGAGAGAGAGAATTTTTTTAATATTTATTTTTTAGTTATTGGCGGACACAACATCGTTGTTTATATGTGGTGCTGAGGATAGAACCCGGGCCGCACTGCACACCAGACGAGCGTGCTACTGCTTGAGCCACATCCCCAGCCCCTGGTCTATATTTATTTTATCTACAACTTTTCCAAAGATAACATTAAGAGACTGCAAAATTCAAAAAAACTGGTAATTTTATTCTTAATATATTTAAAAACCAAAAGCGCATACATAAAGTATATAAATTCCAATAAATCAATAACAAAAAACATTGAAAATGGCAGAAGTCATGAACAAACATTTCATAAAAGATAACATGTCAATATCATCTTTTGTAACATGCTCTCTCTGTGTCACTAGTAAAATACAAATTATAGCTAAGAGGAGATCTGTTACACAATTAATAGAATTAATTTTTAAAAATAAACAATACTGACAATACCAGTGTGGACAAAAGTGGGAAGAAATCTAAATTCTCCATCTCTCCTACTCTAAAACTGACCTGTTCATTTTTTTTTTGGTCAAATTTACCAAATACATAGATAAACATATATATCATATACATGCCCTATGTTTCAGGAACCTACTTTTATCATTCCACCAGGCATAAATGTATTCATATATTAACCATGGGCATACCAAAAATCCATTGCAGCATATGAATATCAGTAAAAAACTGAAAATAAAAAAAAAAAACAAGTGTCTATCCACACTGGAATATATTACAGTATAATTATTTGCCAGAACACTATAATTACTATATAACAGTAACAACCAATAAACTGTCTATAAAACATGGAGTAATTTTACAAACAGTACTGTATAAAACAAGTCAAACACAAAAGATGATATTGATGATTACATGGGAATAACAATAACAAAGTAATGGAAACTATTATAAAACAATAGAAATAAAAATATTGGTTTTATTTTGAGGGGAAGGCGGGAAGGTGAAGGTGATTGATGACTGAGGTCAAAGAAAGATTCTAAAGTGAAAGCTATATTAAATATCCTATATTATAGTAAATGTATATATAACAATATTATATGTAGTTCATGGAGTGTGACATTCTGTGATTGTTATACCTCAGTAAAAGATATTTAAATAATATTCTGAGAAAACAGTATCACGAGAACTTTATAGAAAACATATTACTCAGGGAGGAAGTGTAATTAGTACTTCTGTCTTAAAGAAAGGGACAAGATAAAAGGTATTCATTCTGCCACTTCCCCAATTCAATATTGTTTTGGGTATTATTGCCAATAGAATTGGTAAAGAAAAACAGTTATAGCTCTTAAAGAAAAAAGAAAATATTGTTGTTAAATCCATCAAAAATGCTTCCCACTTAAAAATGCCCAAAGATTTAACTGGATACAGAAACAAATAAGGATGTTTAGTAAAAATTATGGAATAAAGATCAACCTATAAAATTAATAGCTTAATGAATCGGCAATATTCATTAGAAATTAAATGCAAAAGTTTACCTGCAACATCAGCAGTAAGTCTAACAAAAGCATAATTAGTCTGTGTCACAATTGTAAGGCATTGATGAATCATAGGAGAACAGTAGTATAACATATGAGGCAACCTATGCTTTTGGATGGGAAGATGAACAACTATTATCTATTTCTCTAAATTTTTAATGTGAATGCAGTTTCAATTAAATTCCCTGCAGGTGTTTTATGAAATAGACATGGTAATTCTAAACTTCTAAGCGAAATATAAAATTTGTCAATAAAACTATGAATCAAAACAACAGGGGGGCAAAAATAGGAAGTATTATAATGTAAAACACAGTTTTAATAATTAAGCCATGATATGACACTGAGATCGACAAATTCATTAGTGAATCAGAATAGACAACTCAAAAAAATAGAGTTAAAATAAGTTTGTGCATTAGTATGAAAATAATCAACTCATAGAGAACAATCTAAATGGCAAAAAGGCAAAATATTTCTAAATGTCTATGTAAAAGAAATTTGGGAGCATTTGATTGATTCTCTTATACCCATGAAGTTATTTAAAGACCAAATACAATTATGGAATTAAGAAATGTGTACAAATTATTTAAAATATCAGACAAAGAAACATCACAGTTTAATTTAATTTAAAATAATAAATGGTAAATAATTTTAATATTGAAAATTGATATACGTAATAGACGAATTATATGACAGGCATAGTGACAGTTAATTGTGATTAATTCATTTTCAAGTCAGCATGTTCTTCCAGCCTAGTGACCAAGACATTGAACTCCAGCGGTTGATTGATACAGTTTCCTTTATGGTGACATATCCTTGGAAGTAATTTGTTGACCCTGTGATTTAATTTCTTCAACTGTAAAATAAGGTTAATAACTAGTGCTTATCTCATAGAGTTGTACCGAATATTAATGAGTTGGTGTGTATAACACCATGCTATATTTAAAATGTTGTCCATGCACCTTATTTACCAATATTACATCGTTGTTATTTAAGATCACTTTGGAGATATTTTCATTATCTAGGAGAAATAAACTGAAGCATGAAGTAGTAGTGAATTTGGAATAAAATGAAAATGTGACTTGTCCATTTCTAGTTAGCGTTGGCAGTGAGAGTGAATAGATATATCTGGGGCGTTAATAATCATCTGATTACTGACAAATTATTGTTTGTAAGTAAAAATCTCAAGATCAGAGAAAAGAAATATTGTATGTCTTAACAATGGTCCATTCCAGTTTCCTTTCAACAGGAAGACTGTGAAGAATGATAGACACTGGCATTTAGCAAATGAGAAAAAGAATTTTAGCAGAAAACTTTTCAAGACTCATTGCATTTATTGATTATTATTATGGTCCCTTGTGGATATAGCTTTTTATAATTCTGCAGAATAATTATAAAATTTATCAAATATCTCAGTAATAGAAATTTTATACATATATATTCAAATTCATTCTTTTTTGAGTTCAAAACTTTATATAAGTTACTCCATTTAATACATAAAGTATTGGATGAAGTCAATGTTAGATTTTATAGGAAAAAAAAAAGTAAAGGTTGGAGAGCAGGAGACATTTTTCTACATATTAGAAACTGAACTTCTCGGCCCATATTTCACTAAAAACACTATTTTTCCTATGACTTCTTTCTCAGTGTAGGACTGTTTCCAAGTGTACTACCTAAGCCCAAAACATGGCATCATTATAACCTAACTACCTTACACTCAACCCACAACACACACAGACAAAATAATTTTAAAAACAACCATCCTATCGATTTATTTTCCAATGTTTGGCTAGAATCAAACTAATCATCCCTTTTGTCTCAGCTTCTGGTCTCTTAAGGCCAGGGCCATTTTTTGCCTGGACTATTGCAATGCTAAGTTCTCTAAAGCACCGCACCAGGGGTTTCTCTGCCCCAATTCACTCTTAAGTTTGCAAATAGTGAAATTAAAGACCCTCATCTGATGGCTTTACTTTCCTAACAGTGCCCTAACTCCTAAACATCTTTTACAAGGCTTGCACATCCTTCTACTTTCTTCTATCATCAGCAAATCCACCGCCCCTCAATTAAGTCTCAAACCTTCTGAGATTTATTCACTTTTTAAGAAATTAAGCAAGTTTATTTTCATTAATATTTAGAAGTGCTTTCACTTTGCAGATGACTGATTTCCATTTGTCTTTTAAAATACATCCTACCTATTTCATATTGCTTTTTCCAGAAAGGATTTGAAGCTCTTCTATGTGTTCCAATTAATCACTGTGACTTTCCTTTATCAGGTGAAGTTTTAGATTGCACTGCAAATCACGTGTTTTCTATCCCCGTTTCCCACTCATCAAACAAACACACACATGCACACCCACACACACAAACATACACAAGCATGGACACTCATTCTTATTATCTTATTGAATAGGAATTATAGAGTAGTAACTTAATCTGTTGGGTAAATAATAAGTAGTAACTTAATCTTTTGGGTATAATTCCTGAATTTATTGACTGATAGTAGCTATATCAGCTATTTTTCTTAGACATGTTTGAAAGGGGGCACTTTTCAATGAGTTTTATTTCTTTATGAACTAGGAAAGAAACCAACACCCTGGGTTTATGTTCAGGCTTTACCCTTTATTCCCTCAGTCTCAAAACTCTTCTGTGTGTCTAACATATATCTCCAAATCACTACTCTCCTTATAAAATTTCAAGGATCTGAGGGGAAAAAAAAAAGGTTAGTGATATAATGAAAAATATCCATTTTGTTTTCCAAGAATTATCTGGTAAACTATGCTAAACTATGTTTATGCTTTATGTGTATAAAGAAATTTTGAAATATTGCATGGAAATTCTTTGGAGCCTAAATACCTCTCATTTAAAAAAAAACTTTTGAGATATTATTTTTTTCAAAAATTCTCTTCTATATGAAGTAATTAAGATTTTTATCTAGATTTTACTAAAATATGATGGTTCCTGATTATGACTGATGCGAAGTGGAGTGTTTGAGGGCTCTCACACCTTCTCTTTCTGTGTTAGACAGGACTATGAAGAGCTAGAAAAGCAGCTAAAAGAAGTATTTAAGGAGCGGAGCACCATCCTCCGTCAGCTGACAAAGACATCAAGAGAGCTTGATGGAATTAAAGTCAACCTTCAGGTGAGATGAGAACTAATTTGCTCAGCAGCAAAGAATGAGCAGTCCCATATTAATATGCATTTTAAAGCAGATTTTAATACCTTTTTGAGTTTGACCATGGTGGTTATTATTTATTATTATATAAGCTTTGAAATGAAATGCCATCTGAAATGCAGTCTAGGGATCTGAGGTGTGCAATTACAAAAAGAAGAAAATTGTGTGCTTGGTAAAACCATCAATTCCTCTCAGCTTCTAAGATCAGTTTGACCCTTATGTTTTTCATATTATAAAATGATGAAAAGTAATTAGACCAAGAGTTAAATGAATATAGGAATATTATCTAGAAGAGAATATTAAATTCCCCCTAGGAGAGCTCTGAAGAATCCTTAATAAACTTCATTACTGAAATGGGTAAATGCTTTAGAGAGGAGACTAAAAAATGTATTCATACAATGAAATCTCAATTACTAAAGTGGAAATAAAGTCTACTTCAGATAAGAAATACTTCTGACATACCTGTAATGTTTTAATATTGGACTTTAAGCAATGCATTTATTAAATACTTACTGTATACTAAGAATTTTGTGTATATTGCATGATGCAATACTCAGATCCATGAAGTGAATACTTTTATTGTGATTTCCTTGTTTCATACAAGCAATTGTGTTTACAGGAAAAAAAAAAAACACGTTATTTTGAATGTCACAAAAGAAGCCAAAGTTTAAATGCCAGAAATCCAGCTCTAGGTTCTTTCTATTTGTAACTGAATAAATCATGTAGAATTACCGTTGTCCACACTCTACTGCACAGTTTTCTATTCCCAGGGGATAATTATGATGCTATCTGCAACCAACAGAACTTGTTGAACTTGGTCAAAGTCCTGTTTTGGATATTCTTTCTAGAATTTCCAACATGAAAACTATACTAGGCTTATTAAGTCTTATTTTATAGATGAGAAAGCAGAGTTAAGGGGAAAAAAAAAGGAAGAAAGTAAGAACACAAAGATAATTGAGGGACAGAGCTGGTATTTAAACCCAGTGTTCAAGCTCCCGTTCCAGAGATTATGTGATGTCTAGAAAGAAGGAAAGAAAAAGAAAAAAACATCCATCCACAACCCAGTAGGACACAGAGGGAGGTAGCAGGATAATAGCAGTGTGCAATAATAGCACCATGCTGGAAATGTACACAGCACTAGGCAAACAATAACCAGGATGAAAGGGGGTGCAAATTGATTTTGAGTTTTGCAGGAACCAGTGCCTGAGATGTACTTTATGTAAGTGGAAATTTGCCAGGTGAATAAGACGGGGAAGAATCTTCAAGAAATCTGAACCTCTCAGAGTCATGGAACATCGGGCACATTGCAAATACTGCAAGCATGTGGTTAAATGACCAGGCGAGGTCAGTGTTCACAGAGCTCCCTGGACATTAAGTCCCTCTATAGAAGTCAAGGCATCTAATTACAGAAAATTGATTGAAATGTATATCTTCATGGAGTTACAGTTATTTATTTATTTATTTATTTATTTATTTATTTGAGCTACAGTTTTTGAAAAGTTAACAACTCTACTCTTACATGTAGCTGTGATTTTTAAAATGCTTTTGTTTATTTTGTGCCAGCCACTATGCAAGATGTTTTTCATCTTGCTAAATTCTTTTAACAAAATCTCCACAGCATTAAGAGCATCTTATAATCATTGTAAAATGAGGTAGCAAAGGTCACAGAGGCCACAGGAATTTCCTGAAATCATACATATAATAAATAGTATTCCAGGTTTCAGAATTACAAGTAAATGTATAGCCCATTGTACACAGCATTTTTCAAACATAAGCTGAAGGAACTTTGAAAGTTCAAGGATGAAAGTCCTGTTCATCTTTGTAACCATAGCACCTAGATGGGATGATAATATAGCACAATAAGTAAACATGTTTGCTAAATAGTTTTTATATAAACCATTAGTATCCTTATAGGGACAAGATTATTTTCATAGAGTTATACCCTGCTTCCCTGGATATTGCTGAGTAAATGACAATAAAGTACACCTCATTCTTCTAATTGGATTGGCCTTGCTGATCCCATCTGTGTACATATGCCTTCCATTTCTGCATCAGGTTTGTGGAATCATTTTGTTGTTTTTGTTGTTGTTTTGTTCTGTTTTATTTCGTTTTTTTTTTTTTTTTGAGGGGTTTGAAGAGTGCTGAGAATCTAAAAAAAAAAGAAATGGAAAAGAAAAATTGCCAAGTATAATTCCCTGACCTTTTACTCATGCTTTTCTTCTGATCCATATTATAAAAGTTGATCAATAGAGTAGTAAGCATATTTTATTGTACTTATTCTCTCAATGCTTTCACATGTCTACTTAAATTCTTTGAGTCAGATTACTTTTTAAAATAGGCTGCTTAGAAATTTCATCTTTAGCGTACAAATAAGGAGGTCAAAATGTTGATTTTGTGAACTGCCCCAAGTCAACAACCATGATGGACTTTGATCAGTAAATCTCACAAATTATGACATTTTTTTCCATTTGAATTCCTCATCCTGCTTTCCTTGTATTTTATGTGAAGCTACTCTTCCCAGGTAGACAGAACACTGTTTCTTGTCTGCTTCCAAATGAATACCCCAGTCAGTCTTTTTAGGGAGGAGATTTTTCAAGCACAGTTTATCCCACTACATCTTAATAATAATAATTATCATACTATATTCATGTTCTCTTTTAGGCATGAGATTGAAAAATGGGTGAAGGCAGGCACAAGTCTTTGCATAATTCATGATAGATATTTATTAAATAAATATTAAGAAAACAAAGCATTTTCCTTTTGCTATTATTATTTCTCTACCTGTCAAAGCTGCTATATAAACAATTGTATTTCCTTTTCATTTGAAATTTTAATGTCAAGAATGACAGGTTACTCTCTTAAATAGTTTATTGAGTATATTAGGGAAGGTTTAATATGACAGTGTCCCTAATGAGAAAAAGCTTGGGGATCTTTTCTACTTCAATTGATGGCCTCAGAATCCTGAATTTGTTAGAGTATATAATCTCTAATGACTGAGATAGTGTGTATCTGTTTGTGATATATATATATATATATATATATATATATATATATATATATACAGTATTTTTTTTCTTTTTTTAAATACCCTATCTGTAGGGATCATTTACAATTTTACATGGCCCTATGTTTTTGTGGATCCTAATACATTACTGACAAATAATAACAGGACAAGACCAAACAGGCATGTGCCTTTTGACTGCTTTTATCTTTAATTGTGTTATTTCCTGACTTACACAGACAGGCTTTCTGTGTCTCCTTGTATTTTTTAAAACTTTGCCAGAGCTAGTTTAACATGCCCTCAGAGAACACAGTAAAACTTCAAAGAAAGTGTAGAAGATATATTTTATATTAACTTAGAAAAAGACCTAGATTTTTGTAGAGTATTTTCTCCTCTAACAAGCCTCTCAAAGCTGAGTCTAAGCTTACCCCTCTGACTCAGTGTGTGATATGCACTGGAAAGTGTCACAGACTTCTGTATGGATCTTTAGAGCTAGGAGGACCATTAGGGCCTCCTTTTTACGTTTCTGTCACAGGTCAAAAGTGCAGTCATACCATGTATGAGGTAGACTAAAGGAAAGTGAGCCTCGGTGTTTCACTAAATAAGACTTCCTTTTCCCACTTTTCTTGTCAGTCTTTAAAAAGTGATGAGCAATCTGCCAAAACTGATGTTCAGAAGCTTCTGGAATTAGGCCAGAAACAAAGGTAAGACTGTGTTTGTTTTTTTTGTTTTTGTTTTGTAATTTTCCCCTACATTCTTACATTCTTTTTGATGTTCCATCAAAGTATATCTGGAAATTTACTAAAATTCAGGAATGTATTTATCTTCTTAACTTTACTTTCATATGTGTGTGTGTGTGTGTGTGTGTGTGTGTGTTGTGTATAATTCACTGGGGAATTCTTGCTTCAGTGTAGATTCTTATACAGTAGATCTGAGGTGGGGCTTGAAATTTTGTATTTCTAAGGAGTTCCTTAGTGATGGTAATGTTGTTCCTTATCTGCATATCATGGTTTGAATGATAATGATCTGTAACACTGTTCTTTAAGCACCGATAGAACATGAAAAGTCTGCCCATCACTACATAGAATGGATGCTATTTATCACAATGAATCATGAAGAAAAGGGTCAAAACTTGATCTTCACATGCCTGTAATCTCAGTGGCTCAGAAGGCTGAGCTATGAGGATCGCACATTCAAAGCCAGTCTCTGCAATTTAGCAAGGTCCTAAGCACAACTCAAGGAGAACCTGTCTAAAAATAAAATACAAAAAGGGTAAGAGATATGGCTCAGTGGTAAAGTGCCCTCTGAAGTACAACAATAACAACACAAAAAAGGAGTAGGCTTTGAGCATGTGGTTCAGTGGTTAAGTGGGTTCGATCACTGGAACAGAAACAAAAACAAAAACCAACCAGCACCTGGATATCATGGGTACAATGTATGGTGGTGTGGTAAGGAAGAGGGCAAATATGTTAACAACAAAATTGCCATTGTTATGATATTATTAATGTTGTTTGCTTATTTTATTTTTTACAAGCCATATGATTTTAAATTTTATTATAAATGAGGAATTTTAAGCTAGAAGCAATCAAATATTTACTATTCATTTTCTAGAATGTTTTCTAGATTCTTTGTATACAATTGTACTATATTCTCACAACTACCTTTTTAGTAGATATTATTATTCCCAAGAAATTGTTGCTCAGTGTTTAAGTCAATATTTGAGGACTATCATAGTTGGATGTTGAATTTAAAATCCATTCTCTTACTCGACAGCCATATCTTTCCACACTAGGTCACTAATCACAAAGTGAAAAGCTCTTCACAATCATGATAGCGTTGTCCCTTTTAAATCTTGTCAGACTCTGTCACGTACACTGACCTTGCCTCTTGACCCAGAAATTTTTCACTGGAGTTCATTTGGATGGAGTAAATGACACCTGTTAAAATATTAAATTAAGTGTCATGTATTGGCTTTCATTATTTGCAATGACATTTACTATTTATTTAACATGAAATTCTCTTCAAAGTCCAATATCAAAAAAGGTTGAGTAAAATATTTATTTGAGCATGTTTTCAAAAATTACCTCATTTTAAATGATTTTATTGGTTTAAAGTACAATACCTTTTAAAAAATATCTTTAGTTGTACATGGACACGATAACTTTATTTTATTTATTTTTATTTGATGCTGAGGATTGAACCCAGTGCCTCACATGTAGTAGGTAAAGGCTCTACCACTGAGCTACAACCCTAGCCCCAAATGCATTACTTTTTAAAACACTTATGCTCAATATTCTACAAGTATTAGTGGCTCATAAATTTAGTGATGCAGAATTAAACACTTTGAATATAGAATACTATTCAAACATAAAACCAAGGAATTGTGTTTTTGTGACAAGATTGTTGAACATGGAGGAAAATCCAGGTATAGAAAGACAAATACCACTTGATCTCACTGTTATGTGTAATCTAAAAATGTTGATCTCATAGAAGTGGAGAACAGAATGTTGATTATTGTAGCTGAGATGGTTGAGGGGGAGCACGGGGGAATGTTGGTCAAAGTGTACATTGTCAGCTAAATAAGAATAGGTTCGAGATCTATTGTACCGTATAATGAATGTAGTGAACAATATTTTGAAAAATATTAAAAAAAGGAAAAATAACTGATCAAGATACCAAGATGTGCAGAAAATGATACTTCTATGGAGTATTTCATGATAGGGAAGCAGAAAAATGTTAAACAAAACATAATAACAGAAGCTACCTCCAAACAATGGATATATAGCACCAGTCAGAGGTTGCAGTGACTGAGGAAGACAGATTGAGGCTGAGCAGTTGAGAAAATAAATCTGTTTGCAAGACCTGGTACCACAATTAAAAGCTTTTAAATTTTGATTCATTGCAATCACCATCAGAGTAAATCACAATAATAAATAAATAATAAGAAATAAATAACTCATTTTAGGTAGCTCTGGGAAACATGATATTATTAAAGAAATATTTGAGGGAAATTACTCTACTAACATTGTTTAGGGCTGAAAGAAAGAATTGTGACGGGTGAAGAAAAAAACAGTTTAGAGAGAGGGACATTGAGGAGTAGGTAGGAGAAGGCCCCAGAATGTCAGAAAGGTTATCTTGAAAAGAAAAATGGAATAAAGCATTTTATTTTCTATGACTATTGGTGGAATGAAGATTCCTGGAAGACAGTAGGTATACTCGAGGATTTCAGAGCAGTGTTCTCTGAAATGTAAAAGAATGGCTGTGACCGCAGCAGGTTCTTCATCTGTGATGCTATTGCAATACAAGCTCAAAAATCACGTGAAAAATGTGCTGTGCCATAGAGTGAGGTGTGTAAACATGTTCTTATATTTATAATTGGGGATGGAAGAGGTATGAACCAAGTGCTCTAAAAAGATTATGTAATATCAAATTCTATGTTAACACATATCAACATTGAATAATCTGTCATGGGTGCCCCTGGAGCCATCATTCCCTTAGAATTAGAGCTTTGGTTCAGCATCAAATAGGGAACTAGAACAGCTAGAAATAGTTGGTCAAACCCCACTGGGTGGAGGAAAGTAGAGTAGAAGCAAGTCTGGAATCACTTCCCACAAGGGATAAAATGCAAGTCAGGAATCCTCCCCCAATGGGGCATAAAGTGATAGTCTGTGAGGCAGAAGTGTTAGGCCACCTAAAGCCCAGGAGCAGTGAGCAGGTGAAGGAAGGCATCAGAAAGGAAGGTAGAAAAGTATATGGAGAGATTTGAAAAATTAAAGACACACTTCTCCAGGCTGTCCAAGCTCCTTGTCATGAAATATGTAGAATTTACTAATGTCTACAGTTTTTGTTAACAGATATTCCTGTTTGTTTTTTATGGTTTCCTAAATTGCATGTATATATCACAGTGAGGGAGGTTTCTTTTTTTTTGGGGGGGGTAGGGATACTGGAGATTTAACCCAGGTGCCCTTTACCATTGAGCCACATCCCCAGTACCATTTATTTGTTTATTTATTTATTTGTTTATTTATTTAGAGACAGGGTGTCGCTAAGTGGTTAGGGCTTTGCAAAATTGCTGAGTCTCGCCTTGAGTATGCCGTGCTTCTTCTCAGCCTCCCACGCTGCTGGAATTACAGACACGTGCCATCTTGCCCAGCTTGTATGGTAGATGTGTTTATAACAAATATATCTTATGAACTAATTTGTTTTAAATGTTTATATATGATTTTAAAATGAAAGTGATTGAAATAACATGTTAAAATAATAACTATTTAACACATTATTATAATTTTTAGCTGAAAATATAGTTTTATTATATATCATTCAGGTTTTTATTAAGATTTGAGTACTCAGTTCAACATTTACGTCCTCACTTCCCTCCTCCCTTCCTTCCATCTTCGTTCCTTCCTTCTTGTTCCTTAATAGATATAGTGTAGTGACTCTAGAGTTCTAGCACAAAGTTTCGGAATACAATTCTACCACCTTTCTATACATCAGTACAATCTGTAATATGATACCATAGTTTGATTGAGGCTTATAACAATGCCTTGCACATTACAGGCCTACAGTATGTATGTATATTTATATCATATTATATCATGTTTTTATGTATATGTTTATATGTATATAATGTATAGACACACGTATAATATATATATGTGTGTGTGTGTGTGTGTACATACACACATATATATATATATATATATAAAATGCCTTGAATACTATTACTAAAAAATATTGACTATAATAATGAAATCCTAGCTTTAAGTGTCGATAGGTGGAGCAAATCTGACAAATGAAGTCAAGTGAAGCCTGTAATGGCAGCTGCAATGAAAAATATGCTCTAAGCAAAGGATAGTAAAGCATATATACATAAATTATATATCCTTAGTCAAGCATATATAAATAAATCGTCTTGGAACCAAAGTGACTATAACTATGTTATAACTTGTCCTGTATATATTTGCATTGCCAAAGAACGTCCAATTTCATTTCAATAAACATACAGAGCTATTTCAAACACTAGAAATTTAAATGAGGATCTAGGAGTTCTTAGAGCAAGAAATCTGGGAGCATTATTAAGTACTACTAAATGAAAGAGTAGCTTGTGGTTGTGTGAGACATGGTGCTCAAGGATGAACAGGGGATAGCATTGTGCTTGTGACAATGATTTAACATTTATTGACTAATTCTTTCCAGGGTATTATTTTGAGAATTTCGTTTACTTTTTTCATCTAAACCTAACCACAAGCCTATAATATAGTCGTATCATTGTGCCCATTTTATGGATGACGAAACTAGTTCTGAAAGGTGTTTGTCCAAGTGACCAGAGCTAGATTGTTGGCACTTGATCGGAAATTTCAAACTGGTTTGGGTGCTGACAGCACTAAAAAAGCTTTCTGTTTGTTGCTGCTATTAATTTGATGTTTATTTCTCTAACCAAAAGTGGTGTGTCCCCCACCACTAAACCTCACTTAATATTTGGAAGTCATAGCTTGAGTGACAAAATCAAAACACACCAACACAATTCATTAGACTTCTATGGCTACATTCTAGTCCTTAAGAGGAATGTACATTTAGGGAAATATTTCTATTTTATTAAAGTACACAGGGTACATATGTACTTATATCTTGAGATGAAGTTGGTATGAATGTATAGTCATGCATTTCCTTTATTTTGCCCATTAAAGAAAGTAGCACTCCATTCAGAATTGTCTCTTTTTACTTTATTTTTGTAAAAAGTCTTAGGCCTAATAGAAGATGTCTAAAGCACAGCACTATAGAATTAATCAATTAGAGGCATCAGAAGGGAGTGGTGATTTTATCCTATCAGAAAGTTTGTGGTGACTTTTCCTAACCAGCATGTTCACAACCTGGCATGCTGTCAGTAAAATTAGCTTTTCAACTCAAATTAATATATTGATTTGGTTTAACACATTATGTAGCTCACTGATGATTCACACAGTGGGATTCTCATAAAACATAATAACAAGGCAATTTTCTTGAAATACAGCTTACTTTTAGCATTTGCATAGGAGAGAAAACCTTTTATTTCCATATTTAGATATATTCTATTTGTGTAACTATAGTATTATACAGTTCTGGTTATCTGTTTCCTAGATGTGGGTAGATTGCAAACCTCTGTTTAGAATGTACATAGAAAATAATGGAATTATGTTATATCTCCTTTTTGCTATTTTCTACAAAAACTAGAGAAGAAATGAAGTCTCTCCAGGAGGCCCTACAAAATCAACTTAAAGAGACATCTGAGAAAGCAGAGAAACACCAGGCTACTGTAAGTGTGTTCTTCTTTGTCCCTTTGCTTTAATGAGTGAAACTGATATTTTCTTTTTTTCAAAACCACTATGGAAAAATATACTATATAAAGTCAAAATAAAAATACTACAAAGAAGCTTCAGTCATTATGATTGGATGAATACTTGATCATCATTTATTCCAAGAAAATATTACTGTTATATTTGATTCTTGGGGGACAACTTTTAATCTTCTTTTATAGATAATAATCCAAGGGACAGAATTCAGCAAACACCCTAGTTCAGACTCCACAACAACAGCTTTTGGATTTGAGAGTGAAACTGACTTTGAAGTATTACAGTATCCAGATTCTTAACTAATACCCCACACCCACTGAAAGAAATCTCTGAGGCAGGCCCATAACTACTGCCTGCTTAATCAATTCTGTAAGTCATTCATCTGATATATGCCAAAGCTTAAAGGTTAAGTTAGTCTCCAGATCTTTTTCTCTCAAAATGATGTTCCCTTGACTCCCACATTTCTGCTCCTGAAACTACTATAGGAGGAAGGTGCTTCTGAGCAATTCTGAAAGGGAAAGTCCTATCTTCTTGCTGACCCACCTATGCACCACTTATAGGGATTGAGCCCTATGCATTTTTCCAGGACCTCAGCCTATTCTACAAGGTAGTATTCTCATAGACTATATGGTGTTTAATAAATGCTAAGAGATCTGAAACTACTATTGAAAGAAAGTTTATTTTTTACGACTCCTGAGAGGAATAGCAACCTGTAAGGAAGATGGGTTATGAGGCAAAGGGAAACTGTGGGCAGGAGACTTGATTATAGTTTCTGAGGCAATGCGATGGTGAGGCAGAGTAGGGAGGTTTAGGATTGCCAGTCTGAATTATTTCCATAGTCTCTGTGACATGCAAGCTTTCACAAGTTGTGGGTACCTAACTCTGAGGTGATTAGAGTGGGAATCTAGTGGCCCAAAATGTGAAAGCCCAAGAAAATGGATAGTTGAAACTGCTTTTTTCTGGATTGATGGTTTTGCATTTGGAAAAAAAAAAAAAAGTGATCCTAGGAGGAAGACTTCCATCAGACTCTAATGAGGAGGGTAGGTAGATAAGGCAGACTAACTCAAGCATATCATGGGATTGTTCAGAACAAGGTGGAGTCCAGCTCATGAGTGTAGGACCAAACTTTACCTGGACAAACCATATGATAAAGCATCAACCTTACAGAAATTAGAAATATGGTTATTGTAGAATCTCCATTCTAGGTCAGTTATCTGGAATCCCAGGTCCTCTAAACACCCATCCAGCCTTGTATTTGCAAGGTTTCTTTAAACAACCTTGATTAGATTGGAGTTTTGCTTCTGAAATTCAGCTCATTCTGTCACCTGAGACACCTGATCCCTGGGAATAGTGTTTCTCATAAAGATTGTTGATGTACCTAGAAACAGAATTGTTTCCTTTTAAAGACTTACTGTTATCGGTTCTTCCCAGCAGTAAGGACAGACATATTGGTCCTTCCATGTTATGTTAACATTCACTGCTTATTTGTAATAAGGCTTAGTGATTGGTTCTATGTAGAACAAATGTTACATTAAAAAATAGACAAGTTTCTATCATTGAAGATGTGCTTATTTGTAAATAGCGTATTGCTTGTTTGGAAAAATAAACCAGTGTACAGTATTTTTCTATTGTACTTTTGAAAAACATTTGGTCTCATTATTTCTGTTTTAGCTGAAGAATTGTATTACATTTAGAAATTAACACACATACACACACAAAATAGACAAGTTTTCAGCATCTGCATGATGATCTGACCTCTCCACACCTAATCAAATTACTGAACAGTGCCGCAGTCTGGCTGGGCACAATTCACAAGTCACTTGTCAAGCAGAAATGAACTTTATTTTTAGAACACACACAACACATCACAAGAGCTCTTCAGGAATTCCCTCAGAGCCCAACTGCCACCACTGGCTTCCCAGGAGCCTCTCAACCCCCGACTCCTCCTGTTCTTGAGGCCGATTGGCTGAGTTGCATGGGCAGAGCCAAAAGAATCCCCCAATGAGCAGCTCCATGGTCTGAAAGGGCGGGGAAACAGCTCAATGAGCATCACCACAGAGGAGCCAATCATCTGGCAGCTGGAAGTTTGCTGGGGCCACAGTGAGCCAATCAGCTGGAAGTTTGCTGGGGCCTCTTCGGCTGTGGCTCTCAACAGAACAGTTCAAATTGCAATTCTATTTATGCCTTGATCAATCATATTTAATCTGGACTTATCTGATCCATATATAATTTGAAAACAAATGACAGCAGTAAGAACAGAAGTGCTCACCATGTACTATTTTCTCATATCCTCAAAACAAAGCCACATTAGGTTTTAATTTGTTGATGTTGTGATGTTTTGTTCTTTACTGAAAAGTAAAGAACTCAAAAAAGGCAAATCTGTAGCTTGCATTTCCATAGCTAGTATTCAGAGAATAAAAAAATTCTAGTATATTATGTTCACCAAGGTTCAAAATGAATAGAGTTGTAACTTTTGAAAGATCATAAGCCCAAGTTATACTATCCAATTGTGGAAAATGACAAAGAGTGCTCAATTGGGAAGCAACAGAGAGACAGGACAGGCTGTGTCACCAATTCTTCCTCTCAACAGGCTTGCAATGCCATCATTATGGGTCATCATCAATACTTCAGGGTTCGTCTCCTTCACTCCACTATTGTACTAAACCAGAAACTCTGCAGACCCTCAACTAGGCTTGCATTTCAGAATATGTATGTTCTGAGTTCAAATTCCTAGTGGGCTAATTACTATGGAAACTTGGACAAATTATTTAACTTCTGCAAGTTTGCTTTTTGATCCAATTTAGGAGGTGAGTATCATTAAGATAACAAAGATAATTCCCCCAAAATTATATATGACATGTAGTACATAGTAGACATTAAACTAATACCATTCCCATACCTTTCTTGAAGTTAACAAAGGTACACATCTGTTCCTTCAACTTTTGACAAAATTGAAGCAAATATGCATTACTAGAGCAACAAGTCCCAGCAGAAATAAAAAATCACAAGTGGCAACTCCAAATAGAGTCATTCCTGAGATTATCCAAGGTACAAATGTAAAGAAACTGCTTGTATTGTATTGGGTCTTTGACAGGAGAAGACATAAAAGGAGAAACTATCATGGAGAAAAAAAAAATGCCAGATTTAATTTCTAGAGCTTCAAAGTTAGATTTTTTTTTAAGTAGGAGCCATTCCTTTTGCAGTACTCTACCCCTAAAAGATTGTCAACTTGGAGCATTCTGGGACAAGAGGCTGAAAAATATCTTCACATATGATATAGCATAACATATGCTGGGACGTTATTAACATCCCAGTAGAGTGAACATCAGACAAAAAGTAAACTATCCAATACAAAGAAAAAATTTCTAATTGGCCCAAATTCCAATAGACTAGAAGTTACAGTAAATTAAAAGATGTTAAATTTACCAACACTATAATTTTTTGTTGTTGTTGTTGTTTTTCTTTTCTTTCTTTCTTTCTTTTTTCAGTCCTGGGTATTAAATTCAAGGCTTCATGTATGAGAACATTTAAGGCCAGAGCTCTACCACTGAGTAACACCTAACCCCATGATATAGTTTTCAAAAGGAGGCAAAAGAGTTTAAAGGAGGAGAACAGGACAGTTTCATATATGCTATAATTTTTTTAAAAAAATGAAAATATCATGTACTTAATATAATCAAGAAAAGAAAATATTTGTGAAACATCATGTAAAATATTTAACAATTTATATTAATACCTGAAAGCAAACAATTGAAAGAACAAAGATAAAAAGCAAAGACTATGTATACTAACAAAAAAATAAAAACAAACTAAAAAGTCCAAATACATGTTTCTACCTTGAAATGCAGGTTAAACATCCAGCAAAACATAAATAATAGAAATAATAGGGGGAATGCCAAAGTAGATGCACCAAATATTTTAAAAAAATATATTTCATAATTTTAAACTACTACACAAACAGGGGATCTCCAACAAATTTTTGACATTTTTGGGGGCAAATCATTCATAGTTATGCTATATAAAAAAATTGTTTAACACATAAATGAAGTTCTGTTAATTCAAGAATATTAATAGCATGTATAATAAGTTATTCAAACCCATTGTAATAAAGGTAATAATTTTGTAAGATTAAAATAATTCCTTAAGTTTGGAAAATATATAACACATTTCCTAATAAACTTTGCCTTAAAAAGAAATAATAGGCATTCCACCTTTTGGGTCCCCTTCTTCCTCCTGGCGAAGTCTTTTCTGCTGTCCTTTAATAAAGCTTGTACTTTCCACTCTAAACTTGTCTCTGTGTACTTCTCTGGTGTTATACTTCAGCATTCGAGGAAGCCAGGACTCCTCACCAATAACAGATTGGATGTTCCCCACTGAGATCTAACTGAGACCACCCATCACTCAAATGGCCCTCCAGCTTATTACTTCTCAATCGGACTTCTATCATGGACCACTATCATGGACCACTCGATAGACCCAATTTTTAAAAAGGGGGAACTCCAAAACTGCTTGCTCAACACCGCCCCCTTTTAGCTGGAAGAAGCCAGAATGGTCATTGCCCTCTTTCCTTACAGCACTAAGGAGTTCCCAAAATTAGAGGGGGAAATGAAGCCAGATTTACAGATAGGTAGTTAGTGTAGTTAGGTAAATCAGGTTTAATATCAAGTAAGATAAATAAGATGGAAGCCATTATTGAGAATGGAATCTAGGAAACCAGAGCAGCACTTGGGGAGATTGAAATGTTAATGCCCCCAAGGCCCCAGCCCATCCCAAGGAAATGTTAACAGCTTCCAGAAAACATGGAGATGCTAATCCAAAACCCCTTCCTGCCCATATTACTCCTTCAGCCCACCTGTCCCCCACCCTTTGGACTTTCCCATCTACATTCCACCACTTGCAAGATAACAGAACAAAGGAAAGGAACGTGACAGAAATTTGGGAAAACTGAAAGTAGACCTTAGCT